TTTCCTCCCGGTTTAAAAAAAAAAAAAAAAAAAGGGAAGAGCAATCGCACCAAATCGGCTAGAGAATCCAGCTCTTGACCCATGAGACTGCTCTTATTCCTCCACCGTGCCACCCTCCCATCGAGGAAATCGAAAAACAGGCCAAAGGGCAAAAACGCCAGCGCCAGCCAAACATTGTCAAAAGAATCCGGATCGCCCAGACAGTATCGAAGAGACGAGAAGATGGACATGACTCCGCAGAAGCCTATAGAAGGGTCGAGCAGTTAGCACGTTGGCCATCCCAGGAGACACAAGACTTGTCGCATGTAGATTTGCAGCATGAAGAGGGATAGGAGAGCAATACCGTTCATTAAAGTGATGAGGTCGGCGAGATGCATGGCCCGCACGAGGGAGAAGTGTCCAACGTCTGCAGATAGTAGCGTCTTTTGCTTGTCGATAGCTTCACGAGCAAGCAAACCAGGTAGTTAGTCTCGAAATAGGCTTAGATTTCGGTGAACTCTAAGATAGCCGTCAATTGCAACATACCAGGCTGATTATGATTGAGGCTAGTCTTCCCCATGACGCCGTTCGCGCTTGAGGACGCGACGCTACTTCTCTTTGACATTATTTTACCCGGTAGTACTGAGGGTTGGAGGGTGGGAATGGCGCAGTTGGGAACTTTCAACCTCAGAAACTGGCGTCGAGGAAGGAGACCAGGGGCGTTCAAAGTCTTTGACGTCGCGGTTGCAGAGCGAAATGGTTTTTAAAAAAAATCGACAAGGGAAAATGGAAGAGACAGCGTTGAAAAATCCCTTTGGAAAAGCTAAAGAGAAGGAAGGGAGAAGACCCAAAGACGTCGGGATCTGGCAGCGAGGTTCAGAATGACGGATGACGCCTCGATTGGAGGCTTGTGGCCGTGACCTTGTTTTTTCGGGGGGGGTCTGTGGCGGTGTCCATTGAGCAAGCGCGTCGATTGATTGGCTACCGGTTCCAACTTTGAGCTCAAGGTACTTGGGTACGCACCAGGCACGGCGTCGGAGCTTCCAGGGACCCCAGCCAACAGCTGGAGTTGAATTGCTAGTTATCAGAGAGCCGTTTAGTCCGCATTATTCTACAGCTCCTACAATCAACTCCCATCCATGGTGCGACTACGTTTTCGATTCCAATTACCTATGTACTTTACTAACCAGCTATCATGAGTACTCCATACATCACTGTGAATTCCCTTCACACGCTCGGCCAAATCCAGTCAACAAAACAGGAAAACCATGCCGCCGTGCTACACTATATAGCCTTGGTCATAATCAATGCTGGTTTCAAAGGGCAATACAAAAACAATCAACAAAACTAGATGTTCCCCCCCTAACGCCGTATTGCGGTGTCGACCCGAATATAATACAACACTTTCTTTGTGCTGAACATTAAGACTGCAGCCTGTGCCGCCAAATCACCCCTCACAGCAAAGGCGGAGGAAGCATCGCACATCGCGTTCCCCATGCATCGCTCAACCCTGTCCCGAATCCATAGACATCTATTGGTGCTGGCAAATTCGCCATGGCCAGCTAATTAAATTTGAAGCAGTCGCTTCGTCATTTCACCTGGCGAGAAAAAGAAAGGCAGCGTCAACATGTTCGAAATAGAACCAAGGAGGAACCTTGAACTCATTCGTATCGCTTCATCGCTTTATTAAAACCGACAAGCCATCAACCCATGACCCGCATGAGCCCGATATGCCACAAATGCTGTATCCGCGTGGTGGGATTATGTTATGGCTACAAGGAAAGCCTCGTTAGTGCCTGCACCTCATCAAGTCCACAACCTCGCAATTCCCACACTTACGCGGAGCCTCCATGAGCGTTGCCAAAAATGGGCGATTTTCTACCCAGGCTTGTCAATATTTGTACACCATCGATCCAGAACCCTGCTCGGACCAGAAGCCCGCTCAAGTACTCGCCACGACGAATATCTGCGCCAGGTTAACAAGTTGACAGTCCTCGGGCCACTGCACCATTATCTTACCAAATTCAAACGTGTCGCCTCTCTCCTTTCCACCCCTATTGCCAAATAGTTGTGAGGTATTGTCATCGTATACAAATTCCAGGCCATTCAGTGCCGACCCGTGGTAAACAGTTACTCGAGACATGACTCTATCTTGTTGGGTTGCACTAGTAAAGACGAACTCTTGTGCTTCACTGCCTTCCATTTTGGATTCGCCCAGCTTCTGGCTTCGAGAAGCAGTCCTGCCATTTCCCAATTTCACCAGAGAACTTTTCGAGGTGAACTCCTTGAAATCAGTAATAGTAAGAGAACCTCCTCCGTGAGACTTGATCGATATTGATATGCGCCCCTTCCGCTTGGCTTCGGGCAAGCGAGCCCGCAAATCTTGCTCACCCAGGGCAAGTTGCCGTTGTACCGGCCCGTTTTCCGTTGTATATTCAAGCCATGCATGGCAAACATCGTCTCCCTCACCTAGGATCTCCACAAAAGAAATACCCGTCGCCGCCATTGCCAGAACAGTTCCCCCTTCGATTGCGAAAGCTTGGACACTGTCGTCCGAATTCAAGGGAGCATCATTGGGAAGTCTGAAGGCTGGATGAGCTCGGAATCGCAAACAATCGAGGCGGTGCCACCCACACTCGTCCGCTTGCTGCACCAATCCGCCCTTTGACTTCGTCCTGGTAGAGAACGCCTCTCGTGGGACGAACGAGCGGTTCAAGACAACATAATCTCTCAGCATGATACCGGACTCCTGGTGTGGACAGCCAAACAAATGCCCAGTCTCATGCAAGTGAGCGCCAACACCAATGTTCACCGCCTCCCAAGAGCTTCCCGCCTCATTGCAATCATTCGCGACGTATCTCGTATCTGTAGGAGTGCAATCTGTAAAAGCGGGCACCACTTCTTCGAAGCTGGAAGGGTAACTCTGCAGACAGTGTGAGCCAAAAATTGCAAGCTGCAAGTCTCCCGCATTACCGCCCAGAGCAGCGTGGCCTCGAATGACTTTCTCCTGGGCATCCCAATGCGCATCGAGGAAAAGCACTGAAACGTAGTTCTTTTGACCTGGAAGGGGCTTAAAGTATTCTTTAACGGCGTCAGCAGCCACGCCAAACAAGGCGTTCTTGTCAGTCGCTTTTTCGAACTGCTGGGCTCTGTTCAAGTCGAGAATCTCCGCCACAGTTTTATTCGAACGAATAATGTGAATCCGAGCCTCAGATCGCATGGTCCCGTTTTCTCTATCACGATAATTGGAGGTCCCCAAAGTCCATTCCTCTTCGTACCGGAATACTCGACGCCCTAGTTTGTGCCTCCTCATTTGCTCCGCGGTAAACGCCTGCCAAAGATACGCCGCCATCCGAAACTTTCGTACAGCCGTTTCCAACCCATTACCCTCTTTTTCTGCCCGAGCTGGCGTTGCATCATATGTTTGCGGCGAATCCTTTGAGACAATAATCGCAAGCTGTAGTGGCGGAGCGTTCATTGGGGGTATCATGTGGAGGGTTAAATACGAGGCATGAATAGGATTAGACGACGAGCTATTGGCAAGTTTAGGGCTGGAGAAGTCGAGTCGAAACTTGTTTGGTCCGGGTTGCAAGTATACCAGAGCCTTGAAGTGAGATTCGCATACTGGCCAGCTAATGGCAGGAAAGCTGTCATCGTATCGACTAATAACCACATTACCATCGATCGAGTACTGTCCAGGCTCACCAATGGTGCCATGCAGCAAAAGCACTTTTTGATACACCTGGGGATGAGTGGTCAGCACTTGTTCAACCCCAAAGTACAAAGAGTTGGTTGGGCGCAAAGCATCGCCAGTTTATGCATGACCCAATCTGATTACCAACTCTATTGTGCATTATATTGGCCAGAGACAAAAAAAAACGCACCCATGAGTGTTCCGAGACATTATGTATCCGCGGGGCATATTGAGACAAGGGCACACTGCCTCGACTACTGCTAGGTGGAGCTCCAAGGCCAGACATGCCTGACACGCTGTGCCTGCTGGTGTTGCTCCCAGGAGACATCATTGGCCGTGTTGGTTGAGGCATCTGCACCTGGTTTTGCTGCGAGGTGTTGGTTTTCTTAATTTGAAGATCAAGAGCAGGGTCGGACTGGTGTGCGAGAGACGGAGGAGTTACAGAACCACTTGATGGAGATGTGCCTTGGCTGGTGGCGCCATCGCTAGAGGCGTCGGTAGAGTTATCGGTTCGAAAGCTTGCTCTGGATCGGCGGCGCAATTCTTTGAGAAATGTAGGAGCCATGGTTATTCACGGTTCGGAGAGAAGGGGTGTCTTTTGGCCAGGAATGGTCTGTGGCAGTGCCGGTGTGGCCCTTTCACTGCCAGCGGTATTGTCTTTATCTTTTCAGCGAGACTCGTTATTAACGAACGTGGTTCCAGAGGTGGTGATGGCTTGTAGAGGGTTGGACAAAGCGTGCGAGTGAGGGCGGGAGGGACAATCGATTCAAGTGGTCCAAGAAATGGGCGGGATAGCTCTGGAAGAAGCAACGAAAGGGTATGGAGCTCTGTACAAGTGCAATGGCAGCGATGGGGAGAGTTGTTGGTTGCCAATCGGCGGGTAGTCAGCTGCGAACCGTCGAACCGGCGAAGGGTGAAGAGTTACACAGAGCTCCCATGTGCTATAATTCGGGTCAATCTCGCCGACGTTCAGCGGGAAAGTCGGATCGTCGTAAGTTGGTTAATTCGATTGCCGCTCTGTCGACAGCTCCTAAGTTGCGAGGGAGAACAATGGCAGCTAGCGAGGGAAAGGGCTTCTCCCAGGATGAACGAGCGGCAAGTGGCTGATGGGAGAGGACTGAGAAAACGAAACAATTCAACGGTGAAAGAAACCAGGAGTGTGGAACATCGAACATTGAAAGGAGACGAGCTAAGCGCAGCAGACGTGTGCAGGTCAAACGCCAGTCAGCAACACAGCCTTACACAGACGGATGGATATGCAGCCAGACCAGGAGGACTGAACAGCTCGTAAAGATGGCCTCTTGCCTCTGTATGGAGTAGCTAGCCAAACTAAAGTTCTGAGGCGTCTGAACATGGTCAGGGCTGTTGCTGGGTGGGAATGTACTCCGTACCAGGGTGACGGCGGGGCACGGGGGGACTTGGGTGACGTAGTCGGTACGGAGCACTCCATCAACTCTTGTTAGATGTCGGGCCGTTCGTACGCCAGTCGACACTACCAGGCGGCCAAAAGTACGTGCAGGCACTTATCCAATCGAAGAGGGTTCTTTTATTAGTGCGGAGCATGGAGGTGGTAATCAGCTCAGTGGTTCCCAGGCGGCGTTGCAGGTGCAGGCGCAGGCGCATGCATCATCACAGTGGCAAGTGGCCCCGTGGCACCGTTGAGATTGCTACATTGATTGACGTCTGGATCCATGTCCATGGCGCATGTCTGCGCGGGCGGCATCGATGTCCAGCCCTCTGCTGCATCAACATTGTGAATCTACTATATTATCAAAGTTCTATGAAATGGAGTTCAAAATGTAGACCACCCTGCTTGCGCGCCGAGTGGTGCTTGGGCTTGGGCTTGAGGCTCGACTGCTTCCGCTTCTGAATGCAAATGCCAGATGTACACTATTACGCAAATGCTCCGCCGCCTCCATCTACTACTTTACAAGTACGGAGTTGACGAACCGGACCAGACCCACCAGACTGGTCACCGCCCCGTTCACAGCGACTTGCCTGACACGCTGCTATCAACGGTTTGATACGAGTTGATGCCACGCTCCAACACGAGCAGGCCGACGACGGCAAAGGGGACGGCTGGGATCGCTCACGGCTTGCAGGTATGTAGCCTTGAACAATGGACGAGACATGGTGCCAACGATGTGACTGGTATTTGGCATTCACGCGGGCGTCACCAGACGGAATACGGCAGTATTGCTGCCCAAATGCTTGCACGACGGCAACAAAACCAGCGGTAGCGATGGCGACATATTCTGTCATGGCATGACTTTGGGTGCCAAACATCAAGGACGCCGGCAGGGATCAATGTCTCCCCCTTCGAGATCTACCATATGACGTCTTGTATTAACCTTGCTACTACGGAGTAGCTGCAATGTCCTTCTCAAACTTGTTTCCTTCCCTGGCTCGAATTATAATTTGGCCGTCATGCATTAGTATGCATATCACTGCTCACTACGGAGTACTAGGTACTAAGGAGCACTACTGCGGAGTACTACCAGACTGGAGCCTCGATGACACAGAAAGGTCAACTAACAGTGGGCCAGTCAGCAGTCGACCAGCCAACACGACCAGAACTTTACTGGCAAACTCCCCGTCAGATGTCGTCCGGGCGCTTGAGTGGCCAGGTACCATCTCAGGTTGGGGAAACTCGTGGCTCCCTCCAGATGTCCCTTCCATCCCTACGTCTCCACCTGTTTCCAGCTAGACAAGGAACCAACTTATCAATTTGATGTCTTCGCGGTCCTGGATGGTGCATGTGCCGATTGTCGCAACCGGCCAAAGCCCCCTCCAATGGTCAATCAGGTGTTGCTCCCCAGCTTTTGAGGTTGGCTGTTTGCAGCCTGGCTAGCTACCTAGGTAGGTACCTAGGTACCTAGTAGGTAATACCTCCCCGCCAAACCAGACATTCAAAATGTCAATGCAACCTTGATACGCCGAGCAGGAGAGGGCTAGGATTGGAGCGCACTAATAGCACTCACTGCAAGCGCAACGTGCTAGGCTTTTTCGCTCTTCAGACCACATTATTCCAAGTATTCAGGTATACAGGGCAACATGCACAACCTTGTGCAGATCGCCACCTATGGCATCGCGGAGAATGGAAATCGAAATTTACGATCAACAACCACAATCGCAGCAGACCATGGCCGGGTTTTTTGAATCAACCCTTCGGCGAGTGCTACTATTATGAGTTCTATTCTCGATTGGCAATCATCTTCCAAATTAAGTCGATTCGACAAATATAGTGGCATCTGCTGGCGGATCGAATTGGAATGCAAGCAATCAGAAGGTTAGGCATGTGTTTTTCATATCTCCATGACACTCGCCTCCTCCTAGACAACATGAGTCGATATTCGAAAGAGGCCTACAGTTGGTTTGTGTCACGGGCAGCACAGACCGGGTAATGATTATTAGAGAAGCCAGTCTCGGGGGGGGTTTTTTTGGGTTTTTTTTGGGGGGGGCCCTCAAGCTCTCTTGTTGTACATATCTTTACCCTACCGCTGATTTCCATTATGTGGACATACATCCAATTGTGCGATACTTCGCAGACGTTCCACTAACGTATTGTATATACACGTAGTCACCTGCCCTACAAGAGGGAGACAGACCTGTTTATTGATTCCCCAGTCGCTATCTATACAGAAAACTACCATATACTCCGTATCGATATCACGACGTCTTCCATCAATGGTAGTAATAGTACAGTGACGCCCGGAGACCAAGTCCAGTAGTCTCGTAGGATCCACCTCGTCTCCCACCAGACTCTCGCCGTTTCTGCATTTCTCCCGGGAAACGAGCAACATTATTACCCCTCTGCATGAAGAAAACAGGGGCTGGCAGTCGACGAAAAAAAAATCGATTGTGTGAATCATTATGACATAGTTAAGAGAGGGAGGAAGAAAAAGGTTGGCCAGATTCTTACTCCCAGTCATTTCAGTTAGTTACCATGCACACCTGGTTTGCTTGACACTGTTCGGCCAAGTCTGCAAATAGCCTTCAGAACAAAGGAGGCACGGGCTAATTGGACAGGTCAAGTTTTGAATGCCCCTGCCTTGGGCCGCCCTTCACAGCCTTCACAGCTGCAGCGCTTATGCCTCGTTTGGGTCTTAGCTGAGCTTTGGTTCCGTCTCACCCCAGGTGCCGCTTTGTCGCCCAGGCTCTCCAGTGTTCCCGCGCTCCAGCGCTCTCAGGCATGTGGTGTATGTGGCACAGCGTCCTCCGTTGCCAGGCATTCTCTTCCTCACTCCCGCCTCCCTCCCTTCAACATCTGAAGTTCACATAGCGCCATCGTAATCCCAACTTTGCCGTGACACCGTCAATTCGGCCCCCGGACACAGTTGCCAAGACGAAGCCGATGGTAGAGAAAGCAGTAGCATTTCTCCTCTTCTTGTCTTCGTTTTCCTTTCCAACGTACGGACCATGTCCTCTCCGTGGAAAAAACAGCCGGAGGATGTTGTCGACAGTGTTCTAAAGCGGGCAGAAGTCAGCAAGGTGAGTTGAGGCAACAATAGTCCGACACAAATCCGCCACGTACCTGTTCCCTTTTCTCGGCCACTGCATGGCTCCATGTTAGTCTCAAACTCAAAGGCATCCATGGCTGACATTTGTTTAGATTGCACGCAGACTGCAGAACCGCTTGGCTTTGGCCCAGTTCAAGACTAAGCATGGCTGGGAGGACTTGACGCTCGACTCCATCGAACCCAAATTAGAAGAGGAAATGCGAAGACGACGCCTCTACGACGGAGACGTGTTATCCGACTCGTCATCCAGCGCATCCGATCTACCGTACCCGACAAAAGCTCTGATGAGCTCGCCGCTCAAGGCACCCTTATTCTCCGATGCCATCGGGTCGAGTAACGGAAGCTCGGGTCACCGAAAGCGTACATACTTTGCATCGTTTGACCACACGGCCTCAAGCCCAAGCAAGCGCTTTCATGCATCGCCGACGGCGCACAAGTCCTTTTCAGGACACTCCACGTGGAAGGACAGTCATGAGTTGGCGCAGTCGTCACCTATCAAGCCTCGGCGCCAACAGCACTTTACCACATCAGGTGGGCCAGATGTGTCATTTTTCCAGCAACGCAGGATGACAGCCGCTTTAACATCGCCCAATTTTGCAGCGCCTTCGGACGACGACGACGACCTGCTTCCTGCGCACTCGTTGACCGTCAATAACGTCCGGTCGTCTCCGCCACGTACTCCGCCCTTGCAAACCCGAGGCCTCGGAAGCAAGCGGAGTAAAGAAAACCTGGATGCTGGCAATGGTGGCAAGACGGGAGAAGAGGGTGCAGACCTTTTGCTGTATCTTGCAGCGTCGCCATCTCCGGCGGTCAAGTCAAACCGAGGCCGCATGGAACGTCTGTCCACCCCTCCACCTAAGAACAGCAAGTTGGACCTCCCATCGTCCATGATGACAACGCCCGGCGGAGGCAACTTGTTTCCCAATACCCCTGGCCAGGGATTTGACTTTGCAGACTTTGTCAACATCACTCCTAGCCCGGCACAGAAGCCATGGAGAACACCTGGTCCCATCTCTGCCCGCACACCCCTCAGTGTAACCAGGCGAAGGCTAACTTTTGAGGAGCCTCTGGCATAAATCCATCCATAATGTTAGCCCTTGCTCTTACATATGGAGAGATGGGACGCTAACCCTCTGGCCCTCTCTCACATTTACAATCGCATTTATTTCTTTGTGTATATGATACCATGATTACAGTACTTGTTAGACTGTGGCAACTACGGATTCTACCTAACTATAAAGCATTACGGGAACCCAAAGTTCATCACCAGAATGAGGCGATTCGGGAGTTCAGATATCTCATGTTGTTCTTCGTTTTGTATCTCGAGATATATTATTGCATGCTGGGAGCTACCAGATTCATGCTATGGGTTTGGCTCCTGTGCCTTGTCGCTGTGACATCGCAAAGTATGTCTATCTATCCCGCTGGGAGGATAATTGAGGAGGGAATACTGGATAGGTTTGGGCTTGGTGTGTATGGAAGCGGCGGTCGGACGGTCTGGTTTACTTTTTGTCTATATAATTCTGTCTATTTTGCGTTGCCTCTCATGCGCGAGTTAGATTTCCCGGGGGGAAGCGGGGGGTCAAGCCGTCAAGCACAGGTTCGCTGGGCGGCGAAGAAAGTCTAGAATCCTAATTGACTATTTACATGGGTTTTTGGCGTATGAAAATTTTCCCACCATTGTCGATGCACGGCTGCCCCGGCAATGGTGTCATCTATTATCGTGTGGTCAGCCGTGTAATTCCGTACCTCTCAATTGAACTTCAGCCAGCCACTCGACACTCGACGTTGGCTTCCAGCCGCGGTCAAGGTCAACGCGCCACGTCAAGCGATCAACGCGTCTTTTTAACGGGGCAACGCGAAAGAGTCGCGTTATAGTCGCGACGGCTAACATCGGCCCTGTCCAATCAGAAGCAAGATGGTCCGTTTCATAAATGACCCATGATGTCAACCCAGAAGTCCACTGGATGCTGTCGCCATTGGGCCTGTTAATTTTTTTCTCTTTTAAACAAGAAAAACCGGTTTGATCGAATCGTTGTAACGATGCCCGTCCCAATGAGAAACTGCTGTAACTGGCCGCACCCGAGAACTGTATATTTTATTTCCGTCGGATTTTTGCACTGTTGAATAGTGTAGTGCTGTGAGGGACTTTGGTGGCCTTTGCGTTTAATCGGTCATGTATACACATATATTACAGGGTAAATGCACACAAACCACCAAACGACGTTTAACAGAGAACACATAGTGCCATGGCTCCGTGCGAGAGTCCCTAGCGTCAGCCGTTGCTCATGTTCGCACATTGGCTCCATTGCTGCGCTGGGTAGTAATGCGACCATGCAAAATTTTAGCCCGTTAGCGTGTGAGACGCAATCATATTCTAGCATATAACTACTGTCCAACTATTGTGATTTCCGTAATCGAGGAGATCCTCCCCCACGGGACGTCACCTGTGTCTGTGTTGTAGTTTTAAGCTTTGAATAGATCAGGGAACCAGCGTGGTTCTTCATTCTGAATCATAAATTTTCATTTTCACCGCCGAGTTGGCTGTCGCTCACACACCGCGCCATTGATTGGGTTACGCTAGAGCATCGTGTAAGCGATGATGATAGCCACATGCCACTGGGTTGGGGTCCGAATACTTCTTGGCAATGTGGGGGTTATAATAAACCGCCGAGAAGCAGTTCCCAAATATACCGTCAATGTGTGTATTTGTATATACAGTGTTTTCATCTATTTATTGAACCTAGTCTTATCCACGCTGGTCTCGGCTTGGGGGCTTTCTCATTTGGTACGCCACTACCGCCCAAACCAATCTCATAGCTGCAATCCTCTGATCGACGTCGAAGAAGTCGTACCACGCACTTTTCCAGGCTTGGACTTTGCCCCAGCTGCGTCTTGATAAATCTGGCTCGGGCGAACCGTCCAGAACCTCGAGCAATCGAGTAGGGACGCGGACCCTTAGAATGGAGACGTGGTGAAAAAGAGAGCTCATCACAAAAATGTCATCATAGATGGAACCTTCAACTTTGCCAATGGCCTCGTACTTGGCTTTCCGGTCCCATGAAGACGCCGGCGGGCGAACCATACGGTAATTGTCATAGACGGGCATGGTTCTACGAGCCTTCTTCACGGCCGGTCCGTTCCGGCGACTGTTCAAGTCCTTGTCCTGGTGGCGGTCGTCCACGGGGGAGCCGTCCTGCTTGACTTCACGCCCAATGGGCCCCCCTAAGCCGCCGCCCCATCGCCTTTGAGTCGTCCACCACTGATTGTGTCCAAAGCGGACTTCTTCCCTCCCCTCACGGTTTCGATGTTGAGCCGTGATCAAGGCGGCTAGCACCTCCCGTGCTAGGTCCGATGACTGCGCTGTTTCGGCATCTGGTTCAGTGAAATTCACTGTTGGGCGTGCACTTACTGCGGCAACTGGGCCGTAGACAACACCCGCTCGGGCAGCCTCTCGTGTCATTGGGCTCTGGAACACAAAGTGGCAATTCGAAGGTGTGTATGTCTTGCGTTTTTTCCGTCCAGGAGGCGAGCTGAGATGGAGCCTCGGTTCTAGCCTTGCTCTAGAAACATTACAGCCAAAGTCATAAGCAACTAGCTTTATGAAGGCGTTTAGGAGATTTTGTCTGTATTCTTGGGGCATGGACTGGCCGGAGGAGGTCCGGCCCGTTGTAGGGGGGGCATGTGGTGGTTCAGCATGTGTTTGGGTATCACACTCGATACAGGGAGATGTGTCACTTGCCGTGGTCAACTCCGGAGACGGCGGCAGCTCAGGAGGCCGGGATGGATCGTCCCAGAAGGAAGTGAATAGTTCCAGGCAACGGAAGAATTCATAAGTGTTGCCTAACCTTGCGTGCTGCTTGCCCTTGGGAGGTGAAATCCTCCTCACGGTGCGGAAGGCGTCGTCATTGGTATTGGAGAGTTCTCGCCGGCGTTCAAGGTATACCTGGCATCCTGGGGACAGATTCCCATTTCTCAATGGAAACCGGTCTTTGCCGTCCTGATTACAGGCTTTCTCGGCTGTGAAGCGGTCCCATTGACGGAAATCTGGTAGGCAGCATGTATCAGGTATAAGGTCAGATTCGTCGGCATCTAGTTTCAGATCGAGCCCGATTGCCAAGAGACCAGCAGGTCCCAGAACAAGCGAATCTCGGCCAGTCTGTTCAAGTAAAGCTGGCAATGATTGACTCTCGCCGCCAATTATCACATCATGTTGTGCAAATGGCTGATACCTTGGTAGATTGATGGGTGTCGGACTGGGTATATCCCCTGAGTCTACCCTCGGGGTCAGGCTTGCTATGAGCTGGGTCAGACAAGTTGTAATTGATGGCAAACCAACATCAGACAAGGGAAGCAGAAGCACACAAGCGAATGGGCTTGAGGATTTGTTTTGAAAACCAGACTGTATGCCTCAAGCTAACTACACGAAGTTGGTTTGTGGCTAGCAAAATCATGGGCCCACGACAAAAATGTGTGTTTCGGTTCTAGGAAGAATGTGTATGAAACTTGAAACAGGTTTTACGACATGAACGGCTTTAGAGGAAGAGAGAGCTCACCCCGTGAGCGATCAAACTTACGAGGAACAGGAAAGGGTCCGAACATGACGACACCACTAGTAGGTGGCCCAGAAGCCCTGAATGATTGGTTCTGTTCGTCGGTAGCGTCGCTATCAATAGCAAGAGAGGAAGGCTTTGTCCATTTGTCGAAAACTGCCCGGATCAGTAGCCTTATCACCAGAGGGCTACCCCAGAAAACCAACCTTCCCGTCACGCCAACAGGAACCAAGATGTGAGCCAAGGCCAAGCCTAGGGTGTTGATGTGGTCCAATATGTGCAATATTTGATGACCAGGAGTTGGTTATGGAGGCAGAGACTGCAAATCCGGCCACCAAGAAACCCAACGACTGTGGTGGACAGGCAATTGATGGATCGATATCGAAACCACAACGCACAGACGACTGACAAGCTACCGAAACAGACACCACTATGATGTCGAACGCCGACGAGGACGAAATGGAAGAGAGGGCCGAAGCGACGGTGAAGATTCTGGGTGAATGTCGCGAGGGCCTGTCGGAGGAACCAGGCCCAATACTGGTCTGTGGAATCTGGAGCGTGCGTACGAGGACGGCTTGGTCAAGGCACTTGAGGTTGAGGATGACCACACACCCGCAGCGGAAATTTTAGAACCGAGTCCGTGGGCGCCAGGATTGAGCACTTGCGGGAGGTCAGGGGAAGAACAGGGATCCTGACAGCGTTAACGTAATAGAGCGTTGAGTGGCGAGCATCGAGCATCGAGCCATCGACTGAGATTTGTGCCTCTGTCAATGACACTCCAAGCTCCACCGCTCGCGAAGTATCGAACGGGGGGGTGCGAGTGGGTCTCCCGAATTGGAAACAGACAACAGACAGGCCATGTTAACGATTTCCATTTCTATTTGGATGCACGGCACTCTGTAGAGAGGAGTGAAGATAAATTGATGTGCAGTAATGAATTGATAGTAAGCCGATCAGTCAAACACGGTAAGTTGCCCACAAGGCCTACAGGTCTGGATTCTGGATATAGACACGTGTGGCCAGTATTCAGCAACCCAGCATTGTGGGGAGTAGAAAGGCGAGTCTCGTTACGGAGTACAGGCGAGTCGTTCAAACGACACGTCTTAATCGCTCCACGTTGATACTGCGTGTGCGCCTTCAATACATCAGACAGCTTCATCAAAATGCTTCCATTGCTGGTGTTGCAAAGTAACAGGTTAAATAGGGAGGAGACTTAAAGAAAGAACGACCCAGGATTACTCGTAGGCGCTGTTTGAAGTATCCATGTCTGTAATGTTTCGAAACGATTCTCTATCTTCCCCTTCCTCCTGCTCGCCAGACCCCCCCGCTCAACTCAGCCAAATTCAAAGTGTCATCAAAAGAACAGAATCGAGCATCACTATCGGGTGACTCTCCCATGCCCGCTGATCCGTACCAAGGGCAAAGGGTAAAACATATGCCGCCGAAACAATCTCGAATTTTAATCCTGACGGAAGCGCCATCGTCCCGGACACGACGCAGGACACGACGCAAGAAACATGCCGACAAAGGGACGAATCCTGCTCCGTGCCGGCCATGGCGCAGCAATCATTAGTTGATCCGTTTTAAATCGCCGAGATGGAGTTGGGCAAGTGCTTGGCTACCCTCAACTGGCCCGCTTGCATATGGTTCTGACGATGCTTGTGCTTCAGAAGTGTCGCAGACCCAGGGTTGCCGCAACCCCTGTTCCATCGTCCCCGACTGAGGGTTGTTAAAGACTCTTTGCATCCATCATCCAAAACGTATCAATACAAGGTCTGCATAAGATCGTGGTCCAGTCTATACCCATTGAGGACGCTCTTCGTTTCTGGATTGCTTCGTGCACATGGCCATGCTGCCCACCCACAACCCCTCGCCTCCCCTCGCCTCCTCTCAGGTCCTAACTTACCGGATCTTCTAATACCTGGCCCCGACTGTGCTCGGGGATTTTTGGGGTTTTTCTTTCTGGATAAACCCTGCTGAGAGAATAAGTTTCCAAACATTCAACATTCAACCTAGTTCTACTACTCTTCCAATCCCGCATCCCAACTCGTAGGGCTGGCCTTTTACCATGTCGTGGCATGGATCTTGACCCAGATCTTTCTCAACACAGTCGAACCGATTGATACCAGAGCACAAACACCTTGATTCGAGTGTTGGATGAGGTCTCGCGGCTGTCTTGGTCACGGGTTACACATGATACGTAGGAGCGTCGAGGTTCATCGACACTTCTACATCTCGACCCTGGCTCCAATAAACACCATCTTCGAGTATCTCGACGACTGCTTCTGGCCCGAACATCGACTTCACCATGTCTCAGTCCCTCCCAGGTGCTCATATGACTCCGAATCGGGGGCGGAGATGCAATCCATTGGCAGGCCGAACTCTCGTGGGAGTCAACTACAATGTCTCTACAGAATGTAATACCTCGCGGCCAAACGGAGTATTGGAAGATGACTTAGAATTGTTCACGATAGTCATACCACCAACAAAGCATCGGCACTCGCCTGACCATACTCTTTCCAGTTTTGTCATCGAGGATGAGGAAGGATCCTCACCGCAACCCACAAATTCTTCTCAATTTTTCGCCAGTTCTACGACGAGCCCAACGAATCCAACTACATCAGTCTTAACGTCATCAACCTCACCGTCGAAATCAGCTGCACCATCGAGTGTAGCGTCGTTGACCTTGACCTCATCCTTGTTGGATGTCACAAGCTCTTTCAACCCAACTTCAAGCGTGTTGTCTACATCAATTTCGAGCGCTGTAGCTCGTCCTCCCAAGCAAGACGACCCGGGAAATCCCCCCAGTCCCTCCAGAGATCCTTCTCCTCCGGAATCTAAACCTGGCACGGGCAACTCTCCACCAGATAACCTTCCTCCAAGCAACGCTTCTCCAAGCAACGCTTCTTCAAGCAACGCGCCGCCTCCAAGCAGCACTACTCCAAGCAGCACTTCTCCTAATAACCCTCCTCCAGCGCCTAAACCTACAGACAGGAACACGCCGCAAGATAATTCTTCACAAATCCAGAAATCTACCGATAATAATACAAAGGCCCCCAAAGCTTCAACCCCTGAACCTCGGGTTGAGGCTACGCCGACGAGCGTCGAAACATCATCTGGTGAAAGCCGCCAATCTTCAAGCAATGGACTCCCGAATACACCTGTGCCGCTTGTGTCACCTCCACCAAGCAGTAACGTAAATAGCCCAACATCTCAAACAGCAGAACCAGCCACCTCTGACCAAGGAACCCCCAAAATCTCGGGGCCCATTAACAATCCTGGAGCAAAACCGTCCAATCCTGGAGTTGTTGTTCCGGCCATCCCCATCCCTACGACCTTGGAAACGACCGCAAATAACTTATTGCCTACCACTGAAAAAGAAGCTGAGAATACTCCTGCTACTAGTGCCTCCCCTATCGCCATCTCCACCGAACCATTTACAGGCAATCTGCCTGATACCACATCCATTGGTAGACCTCGAGGGGGTAAAGGCCCCGTTGATGCCGGGGTCTCACCCGCTTCGGGTTCTCACGGGAAAACACAAATGTCAACAGGCGCAATTGTGGGAATATCTGTCGGCAGCGTTGCGTTTATAGCTTTAATAGCCCTTTCAATTTGGCTTTGTAGAAGAAGGTCAAAGAAGCAGCGGGTAGAGTCGATGCTGAATCCACCCCTTAGCAGGTCTAATACAGGACCGAAGATCAGGGAAATGGCTACGCTTGGCGCAACCAAGAGTTGCCTATTTCAGTGGTTACCAGGGAATGGGAAAGACCTCACCGGTGGCAACAATCCTGTATCCTTGAAAGTTGCAACGGCAACACCAAATATGTCCGAGAGGACGGCGATGCCTGGGCTGCTTGGTGGAGATGCCACCAGCAATCATCCACGTACTCAACCGGGATATAACGGGCATTTTCGTGGAGAATACAGCATCAATGGAGCAAATTGGCCGGAATTGGGCGTTAACCAAGGCCAAATTGATCCCCTCAATCCCTTCTCTGACAGGCATGCTGTGGAACTGTCTGGTCAACCACTGTCATTTCCTCCTGCAGCTCTTTTCTTTGATATGCCAGGGGAATATCGAACAAGACCTATGCCTAGCAACGGTCCTGCCAAGTCACGTCAATCTCGTGGGAGATCTCTTAGTGTTAGTGCCAGAGCATCACAATACCCAGCAGTACAGCCTCTGGAGTCGAGGCCACACTCGGTTCACCGAGAATCCGTACAAAGCATCGATTCGTTCACAACCAGGCGGAACAAATTCCGTTCAGACCCTTTTGACTTGGAGGAAATCGAAAGTCGCCTTTTATCAGGCCCAAGCCAAGTTCCAGAGATGCCGCGACGAACAGCCACCAGTTCGAAATATAGTTCTCGTGCTGACAGTACGTCCTCGTCGCGATATACCAGTGGAATTAGCGTGAGCGATTGGAGCTTGTTTCACGCCAGCAGGACCACTGGCCCGTCGGCACCTGCACCGGCCAATAAACTCGTCAGTTGGGACAATCTCTCGTCGGTACATGGCTTCCGACCAGGAGATAGAAGCCGACCGTCTAAAGACAAGCAAGAATCGGCGGTCATGTTCGGTCAGGCCTTATAGCTGGGGGATATTGCAGAAAGGGGCATGGTAAGCGTAGGAAAAAATGGCGTTTCAGTGAGCGGAATGTGGCATTTTATTGGAGTGATACCATGTAAAAGACGGATATCGTAGCCTGAAAATACGACGAGATATGAGCATTATCAAGAATTACCCATGAGCAAAGTGAAGGAAAACGGATGACATTCAGAAAGAGGCCATGAATACGTTGCTTAGGTCTGTTTATCTCAACTTGGCATGTCGGTTCGCAGCATCTCATCTTTTGCTCCACTCCACGCCCTTCTATTTCCATTCTCAAACAGCCGGAACTGATGCGGGCTGGGAGTACCGTCCATCAGCACTCTCGAAAGCTGCCGGTCCTTGAGCCACAGGGTCCATCCCTTGAGTCCGTAGCCCAAGTGAGGGAAGACATCCGAGCCCGCGGCTTCGTCGGCCCAGGCCATCCACTTGGCTCCATCTACCCAGCCGGGGATTACTGTGCCTTCGGAGGCCAGAGATATGAGCCACTTGTGCTGGTCTACTTGCGCCGTCATCTCTTGCACAGTCGGTAACTGGTGCCCAGCAGCCCAGATGCGTGTAAGAGCCATGGAGGCCAAGTCATAGAGCTGAAACGCCGGAGAAGGGAAAGTGATGGCTCCCATAAAGGCCAGATGGTGAGGCAGCTGCAGCGAGAAGATGTTTCGGTACAGCCTAGCCAAAGCACGAGAGTTGGATCCCGGCGACGCTGTCCAGGCCTGCGGCTGTTCCAATGTGGGATCATATCGGCCAGCCAAACTGTAATCCGCCTTGTATCCTGTACAAAACACAATGGCGTCGGCTTCAATCTTGCTTCCACTGTCAAGTTGGACAGTCTTGGGACCAGTCACCCTGTCCAAGCCCTTGACTAGTGTGATGTGTTCCTCTAGTATCTGCGGTATCACCGTGTCTGAGATGACGGGGGTGTGCGAGTTGGTAGCGGAGCGGTGCTCAAGTTCCAGTCCTGCGGAAGTTCCGGAAGACCCTTGTGTATCGTGGCCGTGGGAAACTTTCGCATAATCGTGCTGGACACGGCCGAGGGGAGGAGTTGCAGAGTCTCGAAAATGACGCCCTTTCTGCGATTGAAGGTGTGGTCCATCGGCTTGCCTTCTATGAACCGAGGGAGCTAATAGTATTTTATTTAATTTGCTCAATTCTTTCTTTATTTTTTTTCTTTCCCCTTCGCGGATATCCGCGTTTTTGGGCGGCAACATACTATGAACGCATCGTGTCGACGGGATATATATACATGTTTCGCGTGACCGCCGAGAGTCGTTGCCGTGTCCACGACGGAATTTGAAAGGCCCACGATCGGTACTGTTTTGACCTTCAACGAGCTTGGCCTATGAAACCCATACGAGAAATACCAGTCAGTCCGTGTTCCTGTTGGGGTCAAGCAGTGGCGGCGGGGATATCTGACCTCTTGTACCCGGCGCTGTGGATAACTTCGCCCTCGAACACGTCTAGCCCGTCAATTTTAGGCATCAACGGCAGCTTGTTGATTCCGGCAGCAAGAACAATCTTGTCAAATACCCGAGACGTGGTTGCGCCGTCTTTGAGCATTCGAACAGTCCACTGTTCGCTCTTTTTGTCGAAATCCACATGAACAATCTCCGTCTGGAGTCGGATGTGACTCTGGAGTGAAAAGTTCGAGGCATAGTCGTAGAGATATCTCTGAATGTGGCGAGCTTCTGGGGTGTCTGGAATTGTGAATCGGTTAGCCAATCGGCTCGGCCGAGTCTGATATTTGTATATGCTTATACATAGTGTTATTACCCTCGGAGAAGGGAAAGTCTGCGAAGCATCCCTGGAAGTCGTCAATTCAGCCTCAGTGAATTGTTCCGCAATATAGTTCGAGGCGGTAAAAAGCAGTTGGGGTGGACTAACGCGCTATTTCGAAATATTTGACACGGTGCCTGTCGAATATTCAGACCCATGAGCACCGTCATGTTCTCAAGGAATCAAAGAAAAAGAAAGAGAGAAGCATGAAAAACAACATTGTCGCCAGCTGTGACGTACTCTCGAGAACTGTGGTCTGGCAGTCATCTCTATAGTTCCAAAGACCGCCCACAACATCCGCCTTGTCGAACTCCGTCGCTTTGAAACACTTCTCAAGCAAGTTCTTGAGTGTTACTAGACCCAACGGCCCTGTTACCACGTTGATTTAGCATCTGATCACAATTTCAGGAGCGGTGCTGGCCGCATACCAAGACCAATAATAGCCACTGTAGCGGTCGCCATTCCGACAATTGTAAGAGAAGGGTGAATCTCAAAGGCAGGATAGAAGTCCATACAACGCAAGACAAAATGGGTGTTGCAGGGATTCATACATGTACCATATAGAGCCTGTTTGGTCCGCCCGGAAGCCGGGGGACGACCAGGGGACCCTAGAATTGATCACTCCAGCCGATTAGATTGATAACTGATGGTTCCCACTATAGTATGCATCTAAGATATTATACGCGAAGCGGCTGAGCCTTGGCTAGGACATGCACGCAGTAAGAACGGGGCCATATTGAAGACTTGACATGGTCTATTCGTCCGACCCGCCGTCAGCTATTTCCCCGGTTACTCATCAAGCTCTAATACGGATGCCTCGGTTTGGACTTCAATGCTACCGTGGTGGTATCAAGGCGAGCTGGCAAGGTTGGCCTTTTGGGATATGGTGACTCACGCCCGTCAGTCCGCTTAGACGCAACACGAGGCTGAAATGAAACAGGCCATCCGGGTTCACTACCACTCCCGATATGGCGGCGTCACTGAGACTAGTAGGGCAACCCAAATCTTTTCGTCTGGCACCGCGTATATGCATATCCGTGTGTTCCAACACCTGCATATTTCGGTGTTAGCTCTAGGAATTTGTATCTGCGATATATGAGACATATCATCAAGGAAGTCCTCGTAATCCTTCATAGCAGACCCTCGGTAGCTGACTTCAATATTGCATCAATATGCCAATGTAGCAAATCTCGCGTTGCCAAGGCGTCTTCTAGACTGTCGTGGCCACGACCCTTGACCTGAATGGTTCTGTCAAGCCGTTTCAGCGCAAGGGCTTTCAGTGACAATCCACCCTCTTGTAAGTTTGTGGCAGCGGTGTTATCTTCATCTTCAACAGTAGAGCTAGGGTTTGCCGATTCTCCCATCTCGTTTTTTTCGGACTCTTCCCACTCCTTGAGCCGAGCCATGTCCGCCTCAAAGCGACGCTTTCTTGTTTCCAGTATCAAGGTATCGACGATTCGATGGTGAGTCCAGCGTAGTGACGTGAGATCTTGATGTCCGGCATGGCCAATGACAACAGTATCAGGTCCGACAAACTTGTACAAAGCTTGCCTCGCTGAATCTCGCCCGAGAATGCACTTCCGGTGGCGACGAGAGTTCTCCATGCTATGCTTTGTTACGCCTGAGAAACGAGTGTTATAATGGGCCATCTTCACACTGGGATAGACAAGACTGTCTATGAGCACGGCGCCAGTGAAAAAGTCCACCACGGATAGACGAATGAGCTCCGATTCCCCGGAACTGGCCATTCCCATTTCACAATCCAACACCACAGCAGCAACGTGAGTTGGGAGACGCACGGTTTTCGTTTCGTAAAATTGCCAATTCTTCTCGAGTTCACCTACATTATAATGGCGAGGGGAATGCTCATGCTGTCCGGCGCAAGGTTTTGAGAACAGCGGCCCGTTGCAGCAGGTCCACTTCTGGAGTGCTCTGTCAGTCATCTCTCACATGAAAACACGGCAGTGAACTACCTAGGTTGTTATTCAGAGGATAAAGAAGAGAATGCTCACTCTGTTTGCTACTTGGCCTGGGTGATAGCTGCAGATGAAAGATGTGTTTCCAGAACTGCCATCTCGCGTACGCTCGATCCCCTTGGCCGCTGTATCCAACGCTTGCTTGGTATGAGGGCTGATTTGACTTTCGGTGACGGCTGCGTTTGAGGCACGATTCGAATTGTGCAGATCAATATGATTTTGCCCGGCCATAGCAGCATCAGACGCAGGAGGAAGCTTTGGTTCACCAGGCTGATTTCGTTGCCGCTCTTTTTTCAGCACTTGAGACGAAACGGCGTGTTAATAGCGCAGTCTTGACTGTGTGTTTAGGAGAAAAAAAAAGGGGTGGTTTCTTTTTGGCCATATTCCATCTCACCTTTGCAGCACTTCTCGCATCGTTTCTTTCTTTGCAGGTCCGTGGAGCTCAACTTGGAAAATATATACCCAGCCTTTTTCAGCTCGTCATGGGGGTGCACGTAGTGGTGCAGCAGCTGCAAATAGCCGGGCGTTGGCTGGACAGGCCCGTACGACCTTTCAGTCTCCATGATTTGCGCACGAAGTCGGGAATTGGGATGAGAGGTGAAACTGTGGGATTTTGATATGCACAAACTGGATGCTTGGGAAGTCGAGGTACCTAAGTACCTATGTACCTCTACTTGGGTCAAACGGTCTCGTGGCAGCTGGCGGCCCCTATCTCCCAGCTGTAAAAGACGGTGCTGAAGTGCCAGGGCGGCGAGGCTGCTAATTAATAGTGGTCAAACTGATCGATTTGGTTGCTATGTACTCCGTAGCAACATTGACATAATTGAGGCCAAACTGCAGCCTGACCGGTTCACTTGAGCAATGCTGGCTGCGGGCAGACAGTGTCCAATGATTGGTCCCGGATGTTGGTGAAACGGGCAGCACTCTTGACACAGTGGTAGCAACATGCAAGCGAGTCTGAAGCTATGGGAACGAATAGGAAAGAAGAGAGGGTCAAGCAACGACGACAAAAATCTGGACTATCGCGAGGATAGCCCTCGCCGGCGCGTCGCTATAAACCACTCATCTTATCAGATCTTAACTTGTCGCGATGCGTTCATGGTGTATCACGTGGTTTATTATTGCGGTTCTCTGGCTTGGGAACGGCCGCTATATTGTGTTGCTTCTATTGGGCCTTACCTGACGTAGTGCTTGCACGATCATTTGGATAGGCCAAGAAAAAAAATCATTAAAACTAATCAAAAATCCAAAAAGAAAAAAAAGAAAAGGAAACTTGATAGAGCTTGTTTACAGTGGACACAGAATCGCAAATAGAAACATCGGAACAAGTATCACTGTCGAAACAATGGCTGCACAATAAAGCAACTTGAGCTTTGAGGATGCGTTCAAGTCAATAATGCAAAACTGGTGATCATCAGCGAATGGGCTACAAAGCGGTTAGGCCCGGCGGTATCTCTCTTTCGCGGCCTTTTCCCTTCTTCTTTCTTGACCAGAAAATGAAAGGAAACCGTAAAACAGGTGATACTCGTAGGATAGATAGTTCACGCATTTTGGTAGGCCGTTTTCCTTCACGGCCGCGCATATAATTTTTGTTGTGCGACGGCTGTCTTCCGATACCGCCTGAGCATTTGGATTGGCCAAGCCACGCTCTCCGTTCAGCTGTCGGCCTCGCCGCTCAAGGCCCTGGCGCGCCACACAGCCACACAGCCGCGCAAGTGGGCATCAGGGTATCCATGGATCGGATTCTTTTCTGGCATTGGGCCGAGCGCTGAAGAAGTTTCGGATGACATGGGAGATGCTTGGTCTGTACGGTATGGAGCACCCCTAACCCATAATATATCTGTTGAGTGAACCGATGGGCACATGAGGTCTGTACCGCTAGGCTATGACGTTTGGTAGGCTCGTCCTTGTCGAGCTGTTGTGTGGGATCAAAGGCAGAAGCATCAAGTGAAGCTACCGGGCGCGGAGCGAACATGATGCCCTGGGTGTTTAACGCTGCGATGAGAGCGGCCAATGGGTATTTTTTTGCTTGCTCCCTGGGTACTTGTTTGCCTAATACCACGTTCCTCGAATATGCTCTCAGATTTAAGGGTACATATGTAGTATTAAAAAGATGGGACGCGACCATCAGGCTGCTACAATGGAGGGGAGGCTACGATGCGGGATGACAAGATGTTGTCTACTAACCCACTACCTATTGTACTAACTAGATACAGACCTGCCTGGATATGGAGGAGTTCTAGTTGTCCCTGGTAACCCCATATGCCGATGGAGAATTTTTTTTCTTCTGCCACATGGCTGTTTCGCCAGGGGTTGAGTAAAGTCCACGGACGCTGACATGCAGCCACGAACCGGACTGGAGCGGGAAAAAAAATCAAATAAGTTTCAGGGCGCATGTAATATACCTGTAGGTAAGATGGGAATTTCAAACGGTAGCAATGACAGGAAGATGGCGTGAATAATAATAGGGTAAGAGAAAAAAATAAAAATAAAAATCATCAATGACTGCGTTGGCATCATCAGCACAGCAGAGAGAGAACCGCGGTTGACTAGCGCAAGAGCCGCCATCCGGCTGTGCTGCGCCTCGTAGAAACAGATGCCAACTGGCCGATTGATAGTGGTGGTCCCTGGTTTAGTGCTTGGCGGGCTGGTGGAGTACGGCGCATGCACGGCACCGGCACCGCCACAGCCGACCTGGACAGCTGGTGCGGTGCTGCCCAGAAGTGCACAAGTGCTTAAAATGTTCCAGATGTCCAGATATCGGCGTGGCCGGCCCTGACCCTGACATCCCCTGCCGGCCTGAAAACCGTCAACGGCTGGAACACTACCAGCCAGCCTTCGGTGACGTTTGGAGCCCCGGGGCCGTGGGACCAGACTAGACGGACCCAGGTGCCTTGGATCATCTTTCCATCGCTCCATCATCATCCATCATTCTCGAAGCTGCAGATCGGATCAACTTGCAGCATCGTACATGATTAGCTTCCGGCTTCGGAACCACACTTGGTATAGCTCTCCTTGTTGGCCCAGCCGTGCCATCGAGGCGCAGTTGCGAATGGCAGCAGCACAATGGCATGTTGTTCATCATCGTCATCGTCATCGTCACCATCGTGGCCAGACAATACGCCTGCCGCATGCCCGATCAAAGTCAATTCGTTTGGCATAGGGCGCGTCGGCAGCAAGCCTATTGGATGGACTGTGGCTTTGGTTGACAACAGTAATAAGCTTGAGTTGCAATACTCAATGTTGCGACTGGTAGTGGCTCCAGTTCGCCCATGTCCGGATGCTACGAAAAGTACATACGCCGTGCCTAGGAAGATGAGACCTCGACCGGACATGCAGCAATCTTCGAGTACTATTACATAGCAGATCAGTTGCATCTCGGGTTGCGAATGCTCAACATCTCCAAGACCCCTACGTCCCAAGGGTCCAGGGTGTCGCCAGTTGGGTTGAGCCACATTGAACCACCTTGGGCACGCCCAGTTCATGCAAATTTATGCAATCCATGCTCGACTTGCTCCGGCGTCAGCGCCCTCGTTTGGCATGTGTCCAATATAGTAATACAGTGAGCAGACGTGATGATGATCCCTGTTCGACTGGATCGACCGGCAAACGAACTAGAACCTCTGGATAGGTACCTACAATACGGAGTAGTAGGTACACGATATCAGAACATTGAACATTTGAACATGCAAGTATTTGGACGTTCTGCCAACTGGGCCGTTTCAAAGCACTTGAAAGGATCCAATCAAACCAGAACTCGAGACACTAGTAAACAGCCACGGGTCTACGACCATTGAAGCCTGCATTGACATCAATTGATGTGTACATGTGCTGGCCCGGGTGCTGTTGGGGGCTCCTCTCCACTATCAACACTGACCAGCCCCGCTGACTGGCCTGGCCTTAACTTAGGTCCTGGGCCGTCTGCATCCCGGGTGCATGTGCGGCTTTGGCGAAATGCATCCATGCATGCAAAATGTCCGTCGTCCAGCCCGATGTTGCTCTGGCACTGGGCCATCGTCATAATTCGTGCTTTTTTTTGTTGTCCATGTGTGGTTGTTGGACAAGGAGGGAAAAAAAGGATACCCAACCTGGCTCCCCTCCATGGTCGTTCGTTCGTTCGTTCGTCCCGTCTACTCCGTAGTATATCTCGGTGCTCATCGCCCGTCGCCTGCCGCCCGTCGCCAGCTGGCAATGCCGAACGACATGCGTTGACGCCAGCTAGCTTGAGCCCTTGAGCCACAGACACCAGACCAGACATATATTATTGACTTCCAAGGTTGTTGATCACATTTGGCCCGTTGACACCACCGCTCGGCACACACCACCAACCACCTCGTCCTTCTCGCACTCTGCATTCTGCGCACTCGTGCTCACGCCCAAGTCTCACGCTGACCGTTACCGTCTCCATCTCCGTCTCTATCACCCTCCTCCATTAAGCCAAGCACAGCCCGTCCTGGGGCGCTGGGGCCTCGCATCTGCCCTTGGACCAGTGCATCCGTCATCGTCGGCTTTCCTCAGCCAGCTTCAGCGTTGCCCGTCTTCTCAACTCGACTCTGCTTACTTTGCTCCCTCGCGCTGCTGTTTACTTTCGCCCTCGCCAATACTCGCACCCCCTCGTCGTGCAACATTAAAAGCTCAACTGGCCCTGTGCTCTGTGCCCTGCGCCGCTGACCGCCCATTCACGCGTCTCCCTACCCCAGGAAACAGCAGCCACTTCGGCCTACAAATCATATCCACTCCATCGAGCTTGGGTTTTGGGTCGTGATCAACACCGCTACCCGTCCGACCCGTTCACGCCGGGCCTTTTTCCTCATCCTCCTGCATTGCATTTCTCGTCGTCCGATATTGCAGCGTCAGCAACATTTGTTGTGTGTCTGTCTGCCTGGTGTGTTGATTTCTGGAGCTCGCAACTCGCTTCTCTCGAGCAACTTTATAAGCCGCGTGCTGGTCAATCCCCGATCTCCGACGTTTCATCTCCCGGCCAGACGCTAAGCGCCAATCTCGACCTCATCAGCTACCATCCCCACGCAGGGCAACACCTTCGACCGCTCACAGCCCGAGCCGCTACTGAGACGTCATTAAAAGGTGCAAGCTCGAGTCCAAACTCCGTGTATCCAGCATCGCAAAGCAACTCGTGAGCTTGAAATGTCCGCATATCCGGGCTACGGCGGTGGGGGCGGCTACGGCCCCCCGCCATCATCTCAGTATCAGGGCAACTACTACAGGTAATTACACAAGTTTAGTCGTCAATTGTCGACTCTCAGCACCGTCGCTTTTACAACTATCCGGTGCTGACATAGGTGATTGACTTTGGGCAGGCCGCAACAGGGCTACGGCGGATACCCTCCTCAGGGCCAACCATCTCCCCAGCCTCAACCGGGCTACGGTTATCATCAACAGCACCCTGCCCAACAACAGTATGCATATCAGGTATGCTCAAGTCAATGCCAAACAGAACATCTGTCTTCTGTCGACTTGCGTGGCTTACATCGCGTATTATATAGCATCATGGCCCTCCACCTCCCCAACAGTATGCAGGCCACTACAGCCCTGCACCACCACAACCACAGCCTGGTTACGCTTCTAGACCCGGACAAAGCCCTGGTATGTGCTGTGCTTCCCGGGCCCCCCTCACCATGTCATAGGTGCAAGTTTTTCTCACAGAGACGGCAGGAATACCTCCGCCGCAGCAGCATGGTGCCTACAGTCCTCGGATGAGCGGACCCCCAGTTCCTCCGTCCGGTTTACAGCATTTTGGCGCGGGCGCGCCTCAGGGTTATTCGTTTCAGTATTCCAACTGTACCGGCCGTAGGAAGGCCCTTTTGATTGGCATTAATTACTTCGGCCAGCGTGGCCAGTTGCGAGGTTGCATCAACGACGTTCGCAACATGACGGCCTACTTGGCGGAACACTTTGGCTACAGACGAGAAGACATGGTGATTTTGACAGACGATCAACAGAATCCTATGAGTCAACCCACAAAACAAAACATTCTCCGTGCAATGCACTGGCTAGTCAAGGATGCCCGTCCGAACGATGCGCTATTTTTTCACTATTCTGGTAAGACCCTTCACTCCTGCGCAATCTACCCACGAGGTGGCCGAGCGGTGATGATTTGAGACGTTTGGGCGTTGGGGAACTGACGCTGTTCAATAGGCCACGGCGGTCAGACAAAGGACTTGGATGGTGACGAGGCGGACGGCTATGACGAAGTTATTTACCCTGTCGACTTTCGACAAACCGGTCACATTACAGATGACGAAATGCACCGAATCATGGTTCGGCCGTTGCAAGCCGGCGTGAGACTAACAGCGATTTTCGATTCGTGCCACTCTGGAACCGCTCTTGATTTGCCGTATATCTACTCAACCCAGGGCATTCTCAAGGAACCAAATCTCGCCAAGGAAGCTGGCCAAGGCCTACTTGGCGTCATATCTTCATACAGCCAAGGCGACTTGGGAGGAGTTGCAAGCAACATCATGAGCTTTTTCAAGAAGGCCACCAGCGGAGAAGATGCATATGCTCGTACCCTCGCCACCAAAACTTCTCCTGCTGATGTCATCATGCTGTCCGGTAGTAAAGATGACCAGACATCGTGGGTCTACCTGTTTCTTTTTGCATTCCCCCATGCCCTGCAGATAGCTGCCTGGTTTCCTTTTGACGGGATAAGGATGCAGTTAGCTGCATCTCGCTCACCTCCGCCACCGCCACCACACGAAGCGACGCGCGGGGACTAGTCCTCCAAGTTTTTCGATTTGTCTATTACCAGACTAGAAGTTTTCTGAGGACACCACGGAGATGGAACCTAAACTAACGCGTCGTATAGTGCCGATGCCACTATCGCATCCCAAGCTACGGGAGCCATGTCTTGGGCTTTCATGACGGCCCTCAGGAAAAACCCCCAACAGAGCTACGTGCAACTTCTCAATAGCATCAGAGACGAACTGGCCACTAAATACACGCAAAAGCCGCAGCTGTCTTGCAGCCACCCGCTGAGTACATATCACCGAACCCAAGCCCCTTCGGCCTGAGGAAGGCATTCCTAACCTAATGAATTAGATACGAATCTCCTTTTCGTCATGTAAATAATGATGTCGCGATATAGTGTGGCTACATTGCGTAGTATGCTGTACGAGGAATAATGGGATATTTGGAATTTTTGAAAGACGATTTTGTTTTCCTGCTTATTACAAAATTATGATTCTCATGCTGGTATTGGGAATGGGACAGGTGCATCAGTGGTCGATATCCTGGGGTTCAAGGAGAATAATCTTCTTAGGACGATATTATTGCATTACATTCTTTGTTTTATTCGTGGGTTGGATGTTTTACTCCAAATTCATTCGTCTGGCATTGAAGAAAAAGGTTTTGGGGTTGGACGACGGGGTTGGCTAATACTACTCTGGCATTTTGTTCAGCCATGCCTTGGAAAGTTATAAATACAGTAGCTGTGCTATCGTTGAATTTGACACACATTTTGTTTTTCATTAAATTGGCAAGAGAAAAGCCAGTTCTCTGTGCGATTCACTCTTCACCATCTCACGTCGCAAGTCGCAAGTCGCATTGTGAAAATGAATCTCATAGGTCAGTAGTATACGGTGACGTCTTGAAACCTTGAACTACAGACTTGCTGTACGCAACTAGCTTCTCCATGAATACATGCCAACGCCTTTTCCTACATGCCCGGTATTTGTAAACCTAAACCATACTATCCAGAAAACGTCCTTTTGTCGTCATGTGTATCATTGCAATCTAACCACGTTTGCAATAAGGTGTTAAAAAAAAAAGAGAGAGCCAAGTGAAACGTACGTGCCTGCTAATGAAACCAGCCAATGATGAAAAAAAGAAAACGTCCCTCTCATGCATCCATTCGCACAACTTTAAACAGTCGAGATCTCTTGACGCGTCGCTGGTCATCCCTAGCCGCGACCAACTTGAGACGAACCTGCTCTTGTTGAGCCCAGTTGCGGGAGGCGATGCGCATGCGAGCAATGAAGCGAGCCATTGTGAGGAACGGTCGAATCGATGTCGGCTTTACCTTGCCGAAAGCGAGGCCGTTGGGGGCAGCGGGCAGGGCTAGAGGCTTCTTGCTATGCAGAAGATTGGTGCGGATATGCTCGAGTTCACGCAGCTGTGCTTTGTTGCTGTGCGGCGAAAAAGGTAATATTGTTAGTAAACTGGACAAGTAGCACAAGAATCAAACATGAACCACGAGGAACAAAAGAAAGGGGCGTAGGAAGAACCAACCAAGCGTTGGCAACATCAAGCTGCAGCTGGATAAACTTCTTGGCATATGCGGCGTCTGATCTGAGCGACGCCTCTCGCTCCCAACGAGCCTGCATCCATTCCATTTGCATCACCATGCCCTTGAGTTCCTTCCTGTGGCGCTCTTCAGCTCCCTCGGCAGCTCGAACAAGTGTTTCAAACGCGTGGTTGTCGCCATCCAGTGTCTTATCATGTCGTTTCGCGACAGCACGTCCATCATCCTTCCCTGATATAGGACCGCTAGTCGCCTGTAGTAGCTGAATGTCCCGTTGCAGCTTCTCGGCGCTCATGCGGAACGCCGCTCGCTCGCTACGTGCTCGTTCCAATTTGCGTCTGAGCGATACTTCAGCAGCAGCAAGGCCATCAATAAGTTCTTGTTGTTGCCTAACGTCGTGCTCTAGATTTTCAATCTCAGCCTGCCTCCTTTTAAGGTGTTGTCCCTGCTTGCTATTTTCTGATTGCGAGGCAATGGCCGCGTTTCGTTCTCGTTCCGCCTTGTCCAGCTTGTGTCTCATACGACGCATAGCCTTTTCATTTTGTGCCGCCGCTTCTTCAGCTTGTTGGTTTGCTTCTTCAAGAACTTCTTCGAGGACGAGTTTTTGATCTTCTAGATCGCTCATCTCCTTCTGCAATTGCTCAATTGCCTGAGATGCCATTCGCTCCGACTCAGCAGCCTGTGATTTTAATTCATCCAAAGCTCGCTGAGAATTGGCTAGCTGTTGCCTTGCAACTTCAGAGTCAGCTGTAGACTTGGCTGCCGAGCTAGGAGGTGAAGCCGCCATTTGGGAAACCTTGCTTTCATGTAGCTGCCGCTCTAGCTCCGCAATTCGCACATTGAGGCTCCTGATGGTATCACGATGAGCCGCCTCTTTTTGCATGAAATCAAGTTCTTTTTGACGCGACGCGGACAAGTCTCTTCTCAAGATCGACATATTGCCAACATCGTCGCCATCGTCGGCTGTTTGTACTTTGACTAGCTGATCCTGGTAATCTTTAACCCGCTGCTCCAACTCTCGTATTGTACGCCGAGCAGAAAGAACTTCTTGATTGTTGAATGGAGTTGCTGTCGAGGATTTTGTCTTGGTCTGGAGCTGTTGAACTTCTTGCTTGAGACGGTCCTCAAGCGTGGCGACTTTTACAATCTCGTGCTCGAGGGCCTTTTCGGCTTCTTTGCGCCCTTCGCTAAGCGCTTTGTTCTCATCCTTGAGGAGACGGACTTCGTTATCAAGCTTGATTTTGGCTGCTCTCAGATCAAGACGTTCTTGGTCTACTTGCAGGGTATCGTCTTCCTGAGTGCCATTTTGATGCAATTGTCTTTGGAGCTCATCCCGTTGTGCTCTTGTTTCCGCTAAAGATGATTGAGCCGAGCTAAGCTCCGCCTTGAGTCTGGTAATCTGGTCCTGGAGATACTGTGAATCCCGTACTATTGCATCGCGGCGACCGGGTGTCAACTGATTGTTGCTCTTCGATCGTAACACCTCCACCTCATTTTCTAATGCGACAATCTTGTTCACTTGTCCCTGATAGTCGATCTGGGTTTGTCGGAGCTCGTCCCTGACAGTAGAAAGCTCATTTCGCAAATTGGTGAGCAATGCTTGTCGCGTTTCTAGAGCATCCTGGAGGTCGTCAATTTGACGAGCCATCACGGCCTCCTCGCTTTTATGCCGTTCCATTTCACTCTCCATGGCTTTCTGCAAGGTGGACTCTTTGTTTGACAAGTTTCCTTCCGCTTCGCGAAGACGCTCGATGGTTCTTTGAAGACCTGCAGCCTTCTCCTCGGCTCTCTCCCTCTCAGACACCAAAGCTTGCTTCTCGTTTTCCCATTTTTCACTATCGTTATCGTAAAGATTGTCACGCTCGCGAACCTCGGCCTGCAAGTCTGAAACGGCGTCATTCAATCGTTCTAACTCATCCTGATATTGTTGCCGCAAGTCTTTTTCGATCTCCACCGCATATTCCCTCTCGTCTGACACGTTTTTCTGTAGCTCCTCGACCTCCCTTTCCAGCTGCTGCACGTTACGCTGAAGGGCCTCGGACTCGACTCTCAGTGTTTCGTGCCGCACCTGTAAAAGATCCTTCTCATCTGCAACAGCAAGTAGCTCTGCTTCGAGCTCCCGAACTTTAGTTGAATTGTCGTGCTGCCCTCGTCTGATTTCTTGTTGCTCGTTTCTGAGTTCAACCACCTCAGCCCGGAGCTGCTCATTTTCCTCATTTGCACCAGCCAGCTCCTTTTCCAGGTCTGCGTATTCCTTCCCAGATTTATCAAGCTCTTCTTGCAAGCGGGATACCTTCTCTTCAACTTGCCTTGACAGGCCCTTGGTCACCACAGACTTATTAGCCATTTCCTCTTGAAGCTCCTCGAGATCACTTTCGGCTCGATCTTTTTGAGATATCGCCTGATCTACCTTCTCTTTGAAGTCTTCGACTTGTTCCTCTAGTCGACGAATAGTGAGCTCAAGGTCTTGAATAGTCTCTCTGGCTTCTTCCAATTCCTCATTCTGGTTCTCTGCACCTTCCAACTCACTCAGTCTCCTCTGAGCTTCCCTTTGCTTGTCTTCGGCGGCATCAAGTCTGTCTCTAAGATCATCCAGCTCATCATCTCTTTCCGTTATCAGGCGATCCTTTTCTCGCAAATCTGCTTCTAGGTCTTCAATGTTGTCGCGGAGTTTTTCCAATTGGTCTTTGTCATTATGACTCTGATCCACTTGCTGTTGCAGTGCATCAATGTCGGACTTTTTTTCCTCCAGGGCCTTGCGCAGTTGTTCAAGTTCCAGGCGCTGGCCTTCGTCATTTTGCTTTCGCCTTGCTTTTTCTTGAAGCTCTTGCATTTGTTGTCGATAGGCTTCAAGGTCCCGCTCGGCTGCTGTGACATGCTTCTTATATCGGTGAAGCTCTCGTTGCATTGTTACTTTATCAACTTTCAACTCTGTGTTTTCCTTCAGGGCTGCTTCGCTGAAGCCGGGACCGGCCTTTCGCAATGCTTCTTCGAGGAAGTGAATTTTCAGCTTTAGGCCGAAGTTTTCCTTCTCAATCCTATCAATGACGTTTTCTTGTTCGCGCAGCGACAACTGGTTGCCATCCTGTAATGGCCCTTTATCCCCGCCTCTCCGAGGCTGCATAGCCAAGGGGGTGGAAGCAACACTACTACTTTCGAGCTGGGGTAGGGTGTTGTCGAGAAACGATTGGCTTCGAGAGCCCAGATAGACGGAACTGTCCACCCGTGGTATGGGAGTCATATCGTCCTCGTCTATCCTATCCAATGCTGGCGCATTCAATGCAGTAGTCCCATTTTCCTTGCCGTTTTTACGAGCATTCCGTCTTGCGGAGAACTTAAGCATGGGAGTAAATTCAGCCTCTCCAAGATTTTGGGGTAGATTTCTGCGATCTGCGAGCGGCCCTCTTTGGCGTGGCGTTCGCAGACTGACTCCATTCGAGCGTCCGTTGCGAAGCTGTTGGAAGAAGTCGCCATCTTTTCCTGGGGACTGAAAGGAGGCTTCTTGGGAGATGTCGGCAAAATCGGGCTGCCTGCTAAGATATGTAGCGTCACCGACGTTCGTTCGAGGCGTCTCGAGCGCGCCGCCAAACCCTGGTTGGACCATGGTTGTGGACGATGAGAATGTGGTTAGGAGACTTGGCGGAGATGACGGCGTGTTTATACCGAGATTGTTTTCATTGGGGACTCAATAGCTTCTAGCATTGGCGGCGGGATTGGCGATGATGGGAGCGAACGATTGTGGCACCTTTTGTCTTTGGTCGAGATCGTCAGGCGAATTATGGCTGTCACCTGCCACTAGAGGGGAGAAAAACTAGCTCCAGGGAAGCGAGCAGTGAGTGCGCGTATGCGTTATCGGGTGACGTATCCGTTGCGAAATAGACAAATCAAGAGTCCAACCCGGCCTCAAATGAAGGATTAGAGAGAAAAGCGAGGCCTCGAGCCTGACTCTTGCCAGCAGGGCATTCAACAGGTTGTCGCGGTACTGCGCACTCAATGTGCCGGTCCCATGAGATGCTGGCACCGCGTTGGGTCTTTGTTTACTTGCTACCCTGTTTGGGCTTAGCGCAAAACACCAGGGTGTGAGTGCTGCCCGCAAACTGGGGTTGTTGCAAGGTCAATAACTACTAGTGCAAGGTACCTAGGTACGGGAGATCTTACTGTGTGCAAAGGCAAAGGCCTGTGTAGCCAATCAACTACTGTGATATTTTCCTAGCCAATGACACGGCTCGAGCCACACCAAGATTCCGTTGCACCAACTCAATTTTGCACCGGTATATGCGTCTCAAATCATATCTCAAGTGCTGGGTTGAGGCCAAGCCGCAGATGAGAAAGTACAGGTAGCTTCACCTCACCGTGTCCCGTGGGCTGACATCGGAGCTACTGACGCCAACTGGTCTATCCAACTGGGAGCCCAGGAGGGCCTCGAAGTCGCACAAGTCGCACCAGACGACAGGTCGCAGACGTCGCAAGAGTCGCAGAAGTCTCAGCGGAGAAGTTGCAGCCTCGAGTCGAGACTCGAGAGACGAGAGACGAGAGGCGAGAGGCAAGACTGTGGAGAGGTCGGAGGGCATAGTGCGGCCGTTTGCTTTACACACGTTTCTACGGCTCGCCGCGTTTGCTGCCGGGTCCCTCGTCGAAATATTCAAAGGGGGAGACGGAGAGCTTGTTTCTCATCACGAAAACAGGTGTTTCTGCTGCCTGCTGCCTGCTCCCGCTGGTGCTGGTGCTGCGTGTTTGCCCAAAGTGCTGTCATTGACGACCTTGGCTCGGCTGCCCGCTACCAAAGTACCCAGTACAGAGTGCAGAGTGCAGAGTGCAGCAGTACAGAGAGCTGATTGTCTGGTCCTGGCGCGACCTCGACTCCTGCCGACTCCCGCTGCTGCCCCCTTTGCTGCCCCTTTGCGGCCCCTTTGCTGCCCCCCTCAGCGCCGTCACCCTTCCACATGGGCTGCCATGTCGTTGGACCGAGTCCCAGACGAAATCATTCAGCACCTGCTTCATTATGTTTCGCCTGAGGATACTTTGCAATGCTTCCAGCTGCTATGCCACCGCTCCTATAGATTAGCAAATGAGGGCCTGCTCTGGAGATATCATTGCTGGAGCACCTTTAGATACTGGCACCCCGATCACGGTTTTGGCCAAAAGCTGCGCGCCGCCGTGGCAAGTGTCGACTGGAAGCACTTGTTTCTGCTGAGGACGCGCAGGAATCGGACTGTCTCCCAGCTTCTTGACACTATCCTGAAGACCAAGGTTGGCCGTTTAAAGAGGATCGAGAGAATCTGCCGCCTGGGGTACGATGCCAAGGATTTTCTGCTGGTGCAATGTCACGCACCCGAGTCCGCGCCGGACGTTCTAGCGAGAAGGTGATTAGCCAGTTCTACCCTCCCTCTCACACACAAGCACGGAGACAACGAGTGATCGTGATAATTAAAACTTTTTGACTACTAGATATTTTAGCAATGCCATACTCGACAGTATTCACCGGAGCATCGCTATCGAAGAATGGCACAGGCTTGGGCTGGACCGCGACTCCCCCCCTGCACAAGTTGCCGCCCAGAGACTCGAGAGAGCCCTCGGCGCCTTTGACATGTTCGTGTTACACGACCAGCCCGGTGACCTCGATGACGTACGTCCTCATTCCAACTGCTTTCCCCCAGTCGGCGCTGATTTTTGACTTTGCCTAGATTTCTCAAATGTTGGACCATTTGGTCATCCAGTTTCGAGCTACCTGTGCTAATCTTGCCGAGCTCACAACTCGAGAGACAGCTTTGGCGCTGAATCGGTGGATGCGTGCCAATAATCTCACCGGCCTACAGAACCCGGAAAGAAATTATCGAAATCTTCGAAATTGCCTGATAGGCCAGGCTTTGCGACATGAAGACCATGAGTCCATTCCACTAATATCCAGCGCCCTCTTTTGTTGTCTTGCCGGACGGCTGGGGCTCAATGCTCAATGCTGTGCCTTCCCCAGCCATGTCCACGCCATTGTTTTCGCTCAGCCCGGACAAACCTTGGACGGCGATGTCGTTGATAGCTGCCGCGAGCAACTCGAGAGGATGTATCTTGACCCATATGGGCTCGACAGCGAAGTCCCCGCGTCCGATCTGCAGAACCTCCTAGCTCACTATGGATGGCAAACCAGCACAGATGCCTTCTTAGCTCCTGTTCCTCCCATATCAATGGTTCTGAGAACGGCTCAAAATATCAAGGCCACTTTTGCTAGAATTCTGGAGTTGCAGGAAGACGCTCATCCAGAATTGAGTCAGCTTCTGCGTGGGAACAACGCAATGAACGTGGACGCCTCCCTATACTCAGCCATGTGGGCATCCCTGATGCTGACGCCTCCTAACACTTTCGAATGGGACGACAGATTAGCAAGCTTTCTACGTCGATTTGCCGGATCATGGCCTGAAGATGCATGGCTAGTGGAAAAATATCTTTCGCCCATGTATAACAGCTTTACGCCACTTCGTGATGGCTTTGCTCGTCATATCAATCGCGGCTTGGGGGATTCGTGGGATCACTGGCGTCTCGTGCGAGACAAAGACGACCTCATTCCGCCTGTTTCCCGCAGAGACTCAGACGGCAACCAATCAGTCCCGTTCAAGATCGGTCAGGTTTTTCGACATAGACGTTACGGCTGGATAGGTGTCATCACGGGCTGGTCTGACCAGAGCACGAGGCGTTTGCCCGTGGCAACATCTCGAGACACAGACGATGAGGGAGACGCTGGCGATCCAGGCGGGCAGCCACGCTTCCCTATTCGGCCGCCGAATCAGTTCTATTTCATGTGCTTGTAAGAGCCAGATTCACTTTCCTTGTCCAAGTCGCAGTTCCGCTGCTCTTTTATTTTCGAATGCGCTGACACTCAACGTTTCGCGGAAGTCCGAGCACTGGCTCTGAGCCGCATGTAGTAGCTGCGGATAATATTGAGCTCATACACGATTCTACGAACATTGATGACAACATGTTTCCCATGGCTGGCAAATTTTTCAGGCGTTTTGATCCAGAATCGTGCAGATTCGTTTCCAATATCAAGGAACAATATCCAGATGACTAATGACTTCAGTTCAGTACGTGGTTATGAACTTGGAACGGCCGTGTTACAGTGGTAGATGCGCACTTTGCAAGCGAGATGGAATTTTGGTGAGCATTTCAAGGAGTGGGTTATCATGGGCGGGCAAAATTATTCCAAATGGGCCGGTAAAAAAAAAAAAAAACTTATGGACACCTTGGCCAACATCAGTGTCTCGATTTGTTCTTGCTTTCTTTTATAAGCTGTCTCAATAAGGGTGTTGGAGGCGGCAGCCAACGCTGACTCTATTTAGGGAGGAGGGTTGATTCTCTATTTTTTTTTCCCCTCGGCACAAGCTGCTCAAAATTGAGATATCCCATGCAGCCTGCCTTGGGCCATCATATACACCAAGATGCTGTATGATTCATGAACTCTTGAAATTCCCTGCGAATGCACAACATAGATGTTCACTAGGTCATTTTGATGATATCCTCCAGCACCCCCTTTTCTGCTAGCTTCTGTACCCAGCAGTGTAATGCACTACCATAATCCCGTCTACGGCCGGTGACCCGACGCTCGTCCTCTTCCATGACGATTAGCTCGGCGCGAAATTCACCAACGGCAGCTCTTGCTTCTGCGCAAAACCTCTGGTAGAGCTGGTAGGCATCTGGGACCTCCCAGTCGGAGCGTGCCGCCGCAGCCAATAGTTGGGGTGGTATCTCGGCATTCTGAATATCCGAATGGGTCAGGTTGAACTCGGCGAGTTGAGCTTGGTTATCCATGTCCAGGACCGGCTCCTCCCCCGATATCAACTCGCTGAATGCCGCGCTGTCCGCCATACGGGATCTTATATAATCCAATGCCGCTAGCATAGTGGCAATGGTTCGGTTGTGTTGTAATAACGGGCTGCGGCAGACGGCCAACAAATTGAATGAGAGCTGGCTGTCCTCGTTCTGAAGCATTCTGGCCTCTATCTGCGGCCTGGCAATGGTGGTCCAATCTTGGGATTCTTGCGGTCCTATGGGCAAGGCGCGTTGACAGTTAGATTTCATGGCCATGACATCGGGATGAATCGTCTTACCGAGTTTTAAAGGATTTCTCCTCAGACCATCCAACTCCCACACGTATCCACCAGAAGGAACATAGGCAATAAAGTGATATCCGTACTCCTCGAGGGACGCCTTGTTGCTCTTTCTTTTCTGCTTGCCCGCTTTTCTAGACACTGCCTTCTTCTTGGAATCACTAACGTCGTTCTCCAGACACAGGTCCGCATTGAGTTGATCCATGCGCCTCGTGAAGGAGTTGTGGACCTTGCGAATGAATTTATTAGAGCTGATGCTGTGTCCCCGAAGAGCAGTACAGAGGTCCTTTGTGGATTCTTTGAAGCTCTTCAGTTTCTCACCAAGATCCAGGTTGTCGGCGTTCATGACGATGTTTAGCAGTGCAACAGTGGCGCATGCATTATTGGTAGTCTGCACTTGGCCGTTAGTAGGTGATTTGGCGAAACCCGAGTGAGAGAGGAGGAAGGGGTGGGATCTTGCCTGGTTCGCGAACCATATCTCGCTTTCTGTGGTGGTGGGTTGCTCGTCTTCTTCATATCCAGGGCCGTATTGGAACAGAAATATCAGGCCAAAGACGGGTTTTCTGTCATGGCGTCAGGCTATCGCTGCTGTGTCTTGAAAGAGGGTATTCACCCACGGCAGGGCGTCCAACGAGGCTTGATCAACTGTAAACAGCTCTTGGATTTTGACATGTTTGACACCCAAGTCTCGAAGAATGATGTTGAAGAATGCCTTTAAAGGCAATGATTAGCAAACGGGGCAAAACGTTTGGGTGCTGCAGCTCGGCGGTCGTTGGGTGATTTTGCAAACACGCACCGGTTCGGATTCCAGCTCGATCCACCCCTCCCATTCTTCAATCTCTTGTGATGTAAGAGGACTACAAGCCTCCTCCAGAAGCTCGCGAGGAGGCACGTCAGGAGAATCTATGTTTTCTAGTGCTTTGCGTTTTGGGTTCCGCCTCGGTCTGTCCATTATATCTTGCTCATGTGGAGTAAAGTGAAGATAGATGTCTCTGTGTCTTTATTGGGCAGGGCAGGACAGGGGAAGATACGTGCACATTCGTAAGACAGGGGAGAAAGTAAAATACTCAAGAAACTCAGTGGTGAAGAAGTGCCCTTGGATAGGCGAGTTATTGCAGTCTATGTACACTGTCGAAGCCGTCATGTCGACATGCCAGCCTGGATGCAATTTAATTGCGGGCAAAAGGTGGGACCCCACCAGGTGAATACTAATAGGTACCTGCCTAATGCGAGGTACTTTGTCAATACTTGGGCATGTAGGTACCTCCTAGGTACTCGTGCCCGCCCCACTATTTTAGGCGTCTCGTTTCACTCACCACCTAAAGGTGGTGCTAGACAGCAAGGCGAGCC